TCATAAACATGCCTTCAGATTATTTTCAATTGTTTCCTATTTTGGGACTGAACTTTCTAAACATTTACTTATCTGTCAAAATCATAGTCAGAAATTATAGTCAGTCACTTTACATGTCCTGTGTGTTTTTTTCTTTCTGTGATTCTAGGTCTTTTGGTATGAAAAAAAGTACACACTTGTCAACATTGCTGAGGTATGTATTTTCCTTGGAGATAATCGTAAAGTTTTTGTTTTGTTGTTGGTTAGGTTTTTTTGTTTGGGTTGGCTTTTGTTTGTTTGGTTTTTGTTTTTTATTTTTTTGTTTTAGTTTGGTTTTTTTTGGGTTTTTTTTTTTTGGTAAAGGAGAAAACTGATGAATAAAACTAAGATCTTTGCTTTAAATGAACACTCTTTTGCTGCTTCCACTTCCAGATGTCTGGTCTGAGACAGCCAAGCCTTGTTTTTAGAATTTAGTATTTTATTGCTGAAATAGGTCATCCAAAATCTAAGATGTAAATCTCATTGCTGTAAATCTAAACCAGCTGACCAAAAGGATTTCACAGAAAAGAAGTCTGTGGATGTATGAACAATGGGATCCTAGTCTCCTGACTACCTGTTCTTCTTTCTGCAGAAATGTAAAGATCATATAGTCTTTGATCCAGTTTGAAGCTAAGCTTGTTACTAATAGGAAGATGCAGCCCATCTCATATCTCAGCATGTGATACTCAGTCTTGATCAGAGATATCACATGCTGGGACTTGCTGCAAGTTTTTCTGATTATGTCTCCTGTATTAAGATGAGGACAGCTATAATATATTTCATTTTATTCATATTGCACAGGCTTCTACGAAATTGCCAATTCAACCCACAGCTGGGCAAAGATCTGGCATTCTGACCCCATCAGAAATACACAGGCATGCTGATACCACCCACAAATGAGAAGGCATGTTTGCTGCCTTCCTGTGAATTTGTAACTGCTGGCGGTAAGAGAAAGATCAAAAGTAAAGCTACAGTACCAATGCTCAGATCCTTAGTGTAGCATTCAAACTCTATTGAAAAGTAGACTCACAGTCAAGAGTGGGAAAAGGTTTGGCATGGTTTTTGAGGCCTTCAGGTGGAGAAAGGAGCAGTCTTCAAGAACCACTAATTTTTTATTAGTAAAGATTCATCTGTTTGATTCTGAAAGTGCTTAAAAAATCAAAAATAACAGGAAACAGAAGGGGGTATATTGCATGATAGTTTACGATTTCAATGTATAGCCACAGACAATAACACTAGTACTGGTAGAAAGTAGGATATGAGGAAGTGATTTGAGGCAAAAGCATAAATTTTACAAAAACATCATTGGTGTTGCTGTGTATGTGCTTATACTGTGTTGCTGTGTATGCTTCTATTTAACACTGCCTATGTGAATTTGTATGCTTTCTAGTTAGAGGCAAATAAACAGGCTTTCTGGAAGTGCCAGGTTCTATCATACTGTAACTTATGTGACTGTTTATTAAACAAAGGAAATCTCCCACTGATCTCTGAGTTAAATTTCTCAGGGTTATATTTCTAAATTACTTGACCCCCTAGAACTGAGCAGATGATGCCCACAGATTGAAGCATACACCTTAACAATTTCTAGCCTGGAGAATATTTTGAGGTTTAATAGTATCAAAGTTCAGTGCACTTGTTTGCTCCATTCTGAGAAAAATAAGTGCATTTCTCTCTACTGAAACAATGTCAGATATCTCTAATCTAGACATTTTTAGCATTCATGCCCTAAATATCAAAATAATAATGATTATGATAATGAATTTTGCAATTCATATAGTAATGTTGTCATTAGCATAAATATAGTGTGTGGTGCTCATATTTAAATGACAAACTTGCTTATCTTTCACAGCCTTTCAGACATAAGACATTTACACAAGATTTGATCTGTGTACTCAAAATCAGTTTGCAGATCCTAGTCCCTAGGAATTTAACTCATATTGACAAGGCAATTGTATGTGCAGACTTGCCACTTGATATTAAATAACAAACAGCCTGGACACGTGGATGTCTCCAAGCAATTGAACAAACCAATCTCACACAGGGACTAGGAATTTACTGCCTTTATATACCTCTGCACCTAAACCAGTATGACACAAATCAATATACACTTTGAATTGGTACTAATTACATTTGAATCAATTTACATCATTATCTGAGACCTTTTTAAAAGAAAATATTTGATCTGCCTCTAGGACCCTAGTTTAAAGGCCTTCAATTCAAAGATTTGATTTTAATGTCTAATGTGATTTTAAATGTCTTACTTTTGGAGGTACTTTTAATGTATTTTTGGATGCACATTTTGAGGCACTTTGAAGATCCTTACCTGCCATAAAGTCCTAAGCAATGCTTAAGCATTTGCGGTGTTTTTGAGAGCTTAACACAATGTGACTCAAGACACAGGCATTCAAAACCTCTGAAAATCTTGCCATTAGAGCCCACATCAACTTTCAGCTGATAGATAGTGGCAAATTTTACATAATGAAAAGGCTGCACAGAGCTTAACCCCCTTATTCACTTAACTATTTTTCAGCTTTTTATATCATCATGTATTATACAAACATTTAGTATTTTAATATTATTTAGAACAGGTTGAAATTATTGAATATGTATGCTGAATATTGAATATTACTGCCAGACCTTCAACATGCTTAGAAATATATAAAAACATAATTATTTAAGGAAAAGGGAAAAAAAAACCTAGTTAAATTCTTTTCACCTTTTCCTAACCCCACTGTCAAGGAAAAGCAAGAAGAACTTGACCATCTCTCCTATTGGAGTTTGGAATACCTCACCTTAGAGCAGCAGAAGCAATGACACAGAAAGAGATAATCCACTGACTTTAATCACACATAAATGAACTAATCTTTTAGATGCACATAATTTCATTTTGATGAAACAATCCATTCCCTAGTCTTAGCTTTTAAGGTGCTCAATGTAACAGGAAAAATAGAAATTAGGTAAATTAGGAAAATTATATTAGAAGAAAAAATATAATTATCTAGCCAAATTGTATGCACACAATCAGAATTCAGTTGTTTGCCAAGACCATTGTTGGCAGTGAAATTGCCACATGTATTTGTGCAGCTATAGTAGATGCACCTTGATGAAGTCTAGAAAATTACACTAATGAACCTTGCAGTGATTTATTAAGGCAGTCTGGAAGCTGATTTAGTAATTTTCTCATAAAGAACTCCTCATGACAGTTGTTCTACACATCACAAGAGTGTTTCCAATAATGCAAGACACTTAGAAATGAGGTTTACATTTCAAAAATTACTATTTTTTTTCCCAGAGTAACTGAATTAAGACAGTATTTTTACATTCCTCTTCTATAATAATGTGGGTACCTCAGAAATACTGACACTTCCTTGCTTGTATCTGATTAAGCAGGAGTATTAAAAATTCAACATCAGATGAAATCTGAATTTCACCGTTATGCCCTTTTATGAAGATCTGCAATCTTTCTATCCTAGACGTTTGCATAAGACATTGCTTAACTTCAGAGACATTGACTAGCAGCACTGAGAAAAGGAGAATTACTAGATCAAAGAAACTTGGGTTAAAAACTGCTTCATTAAATTTTAGTAAAACTACCTCCTTTCCGCTACAGATTGGCAATAAGTAAGAATATTAATAATATTCCAGTTTAATTGCATGTGTGTTATTATTAAAAGATAATTATATGATAGTTTAAACCACCTATGATACTATTCAATAATTGTTTTTTCATCTTTTTTCTGACAGCATATTTCCTAGGCATGCTTTTTTCTAAAATTTTCTTTAATAAAGGGTAATAAAATTGACAAAAATATGAACACATTAGAGGTTGCTCCAGCTGAGTACAGTCTCATGCTTGTGCATACAGAGAAGCAGTCAGTAGCTCAGAACAATTTTCTTACAGGAACATACTATTAGAAAATATACTTTTTTTACAAGAATTAGCAGTTATTTTTTTACTTTTCAGTGAACTCTCTGGCCATTTCAGTAATAACAATGACAGGCTTGGGTAAGAGTCATTGCAGTCATCTCAACCAGATACATGTTTATCAGAGGATTGCATGGGGAAAGCAAAAAATAATGACAAAAGCTAGATTTGGTAGGGTTTTTTTTAAAAAAAGAACATCCTATTCTTCTGTGCAAAAAAGCTAACAGAAGAAAAATATTGTGAAAAATTTATGGCAGAGCAATCAGACCATCCTTTATCAAAACCCAATATGTTTGTTTCATTAATGGAAGAAATAGAAACGAGATATTTGGAACTGCCAATCAAAATAAGACTATCTTCTGAAATTACATTTCTCTGGATAAATATGAAACAACTTTTTCTCCTCTCTAGAGACAGTTATATAAAACTATCTGTAAAAATATGAAGCTGATGACCTGTTTGTAGGAGCCTGTTCCTAGAAGGAGCATGGACATTAGGTACTGTACTGAGACATGCTGAGAATTTTGAAGGGCTCCAGAGGGAGGAGAGGGAGCTAAGATATGCTGCCTCTTGAGGGAAGCGGGCCATTTCTCCATTTTGATGAAATCATTAGTCACACAGAGCCTCATTCCTGAGTGGGATCTGCAGCTATAATTAGTGCTGAGACTCTCATTTGCATTCTTGCTATAAAAGTTAATATTTTACATGTCAAATAACCCATATGGATTCACTCAATATTAAAAGAACTGCTGTTCATAATACATAAGCAGAGGGCTTCATTACACATATTTATGCCTCATACCAGGTATCTTTTATGTTAGAATAATGAAATATGACTTATTAATGCAGTTGTGAATCTTTTTGTTAATAGCATGTTTATAAATGTGTTCAATCTACACAAAATTTTAGTATATTCTGAATCACTATTAGTCAGAAATATACCTTTTTTTCCCCTTTGCACAATTTAGCCTCACATTTTCTTATAAGTATCCCGTTCTGCCATTGCAAGTGATGCCAAAAATATTTCTAACTCTTGAATCTCTGCAGAAGCATGAAGACTATGTCTGAAAATGACACCTCCGTGAAGCTCCATGGCTGATCGATTGCTAAACACACAGATGTCAAAATCTGGGTACTAGAAAATGCCATGTAAAATGAAACCTATTATTGTTAACGATCTTGATGTACAAACACACACACCTTTTGAGCTCTGCTTCCATATAGCCAAAGCTAAATCAGCCGGTTGGGAAGTTGTAGGAGATCCTATCAAAACCAATCTTTGAGTAAGTATTCATTGAAGGATGCTAAAATTGCAGTTAAAATAAGTCCTGTGGAAACACCTGTGACGTCCATATGAATAGCAAAAGAACTCTTTATGATCACTACTATGAGAATGAACCCTGGCTGAATTCCTTATGATCAGTGCTGTTTAAAAAGAATATTAAACAAGAGTCCACCTAGCATAAACTCTGTCACAATAAAAACAGTTGTTGTTAACAATTGTTAGCAATAATAATTATTGCATGTATTGCGTGTAAGTGCAAAAAAATCAAAAGCATCATGGTAATGTACTTAGAATAATGAACAAAAAAAGATCATTTCTCATTTCTTTTAAGAGATGGGATAAAAGTAGTACATGAGTACTATGTGCTGCTTTTCATCCTGACAGTCTTAGATTTTCTACATTATTGTTGTAACTGTCATCATCTCGATCGATTCAAATGTTCTTGTCAGAGTGACTGAAGGGTTAATACAAGAGAAGCATAAAAGACAATCAGATAGTAGTACAGTGTGCTTAATTGGAGTGTTTGGTATATTACTACCTCTACCATTTCTACTGGCCATACAAGCTGGAGGGCTAGCTTTTAGATATTAATGTATTAGATATTAATGTACTCAATATACTGTAAGTCACTTCTTGGCAAGGCTAGTATGGTCAACAATCACAAATACAGTAATTAGCAGTGAGTATACAGATCTTCACAGTCATGCTCCTCAAGGTATTACTTCTTTGGCTGGAGGGGCGAAACTGGAAATGAAGCAACAATTATTTTTCTCATAGAAGAAAGGCTGGCCCCCATAAAATTTGAATCAGTGTGATGACAACTGTCTTTCCAGTATAAGGTAGTGTAGCAATTGGTGCTAAGAATCATAATGTGAAGAAAGGGAAGGAAAAACATGAAAAAAAAAAAAAAAAGCTTGAATTTTCAAAGGATTTTCAAACATAATCCTGCTAAAATCATAGGATAGCTTATTGTGCTTTAGAAGTTTCCACCTTACATTTTTGCTTAGGCTTTTTCTTTCTCTGCTGTGGGTCATGCCATAGAAGCGTGATATCTCATGCCAGGCTTCTATGAGGCTGCATGAAAGTAGTGTGCGTTCTTGCAGTGTGCCCACAGAAATCTGCCTCCCTGCCTTGAAATAACTTCAGCAAAGAAATCAAATACAAAGAGCTAAGATACTGCGTGTGCAATAATGATATGTTGCTCTTGTTAATAATACTGTTACTAAATATGGATGGCACTTAGCACAAGATAAGGGGGTAAGTACAATGCCTTGATCACTGTGCAACCTGAGAAGTGAACACTTAAGTTACAGTAATTTAAAAATATGCACATCAGCATATTTTTTATTTTTTACATACTCCTGTATGTACTCTCCAAGTGTCTTAGAGAAGCTGATCTGTATTTATTTATGATTTGAATTCATATTTGGGGAAAACTAAGGTGTTCAGTTGTGTCAGGTTAGTTAATGGGCAGTTTCTAAAGAGTGCTCTGATGATTCACATTGCAAAATCATAATATCAACTCTAATGTACAAACTAGAAAGATTCTATTAAAAAATGTAAAGGTAGGCTGAGTAATTTACATTCCTAGAATACTTATACTTAAAACTAAGATAAGCAGAAAAGATCTCATAAAAACATTTAACTTGGCCTGATGTATATTGAGCAGGCCATTGTCAATACAAGATATTGAGACACTGACATCAACTGAGCTCATTATTTTCAATTGCACCATTAATTTGCAATATTAACACACACTGAAATGATGTTAAGATATTAGTATTTTGATTTGCTAGCTACTTATGCTGATGTTGTATAAAAATAAAATAAATAACAGTGCAGCTTGGTAAAATAAATACTATTTAGCAAATCCTAGACTCAAAAGAAATAAAAATTTTAAAAACTGAGAGGGTGATGAAGCATTCGAACAGGTTGCTTAGAGAAGATGTGGGTGCCCCATCCTTTGGAAGTGTTAAAGACCAGCTTGGATGGGGCTCTGAGCAACCAGCTCTAGAGAAAGTTTCCCTGCCCACAGCAATTGGAATTAAATGATCCTTAAGGTCTCTTCCCACTCAAACCGTTCTATAAGTCTATAAAAAACTGAGTAAAAGTCATTAGAATATCAAAAGACTAACTCCACAGAGGGTCTTAATTACTAGTTTGAGGGCAAGGGATTACTCTGCTGGAACCTCACCTGTAGGCACCATGTTTTCCTCAGGAGAGTACCCCAAGTATATACTGGTCTGCCTTGGAGCAAACTCAACAGAATTTTAATACTGGCATCTCAAAGAATACATGAATATAGAAAGTCTGTCTCCATGTTAAGTGAAAGATATGATCTGATGAGTGCCATTAGAGCATTTCAACAGATCAGACAGAACACAAAATAAAGATAGTTTCTTGCTAGTGTTAAAGCACTATCCATTCACGCCATTAGCCCTTTGGAAGAGGGATTCAAATCTCTATCTCCTCAATTTACTGGTATCCTAAACACAGCTCTTGTCCTCAGCCTTTCCTTTTGAAGCTGACTATGTTTGTGTGGCATACATAGACAGTCCTCTCTTGGGAAAGTAAATGACAAGTGAAAATGTAATCTGATAACCTGGACATATATTTAGGAATGGGAAAAGCTAAGATTCAGTTCTTCTGCCAGGATTTACTTATTTCTTAAGAACCATAATTATTTGTTGAAATAAAAAATATTCTTGCCACATGAGTTCTCAAACTTCTAGATGCGCCTCACTGAGCCAAGGTACCCGCAATTCTTTTCTGCACAGTGAAAATATTTTCATGGGAAGCACAAACCACAGCACAACTCTCAGCCTGAGATTAATGGTTAGAATCACTTCTATGGGAATTAGAAATATAGATACAAATCTATTATGGCAAAAAGAAATTGCATTTGGAATATTCTGCAACTAATCTACTTTGTGTAAAGATTACAGTATTACTCCCTCCTCTTCTGGTAGCAAAGTGCCCTTGGCTGGTTTTCTGTAAAGAAAACATTCAGGCATCCTGACTCAGGGGAAGTTTCTGTAACTGACTTGTAAAAAGGGATTGTGATTCTCTGATGTTCTGAGAGACCAAAATATTCTCTAATTGCTGTCTGCTGGACATGCCCCATTCATTCTACTGCTGTTTGGGTCTGTTCAGAGGCATCTGATGCTCCCTACAAAAATGTAGGGAGTCTGATGCCTGGGGAGAGTCTTTTGGTTCTACTCATTGTAGCACTTGAATCCTTTAACAGGACTTGCTCTAAATGTCCAAATCACTTTGAAAATAATATTTTGATGCCTGAGACACCCAGATGGATTAACATTTTACAACCACTAAATCCTATGTTTAAAAAATTTACTTCACTATCCATCAAGCTCCACAGGACACTGTTGCTGCTCTCTGTAGAGAGTGGTCAAAAGGTTTGCTTTTTTATCCAGTAAGTTAACTGTAAAATGTGTATGAAAAGATAACAAGTTGGTAAGCATACTTTTCCCTCTGGAATCTCACCTTTGTACTTTGTGATTGTTTGGTATCTGACCCAGTCTGTCATACGATATCCAGTGGAATCCTGTTATCTGAATAAAACCCGTAAGGGAAAATAGACAGGGTCATAGTAGTATTTTCTGAAAGCAATCAATAGCTCCACTTAAAGCATTTGAGGGTGGGTTTTTTCACTCTCAAATTAAAAAGTTACACATAATCATATGATTACAGCATGTCTGAAAATGTCGGAATTGTTGTCAACAATGGGATCAGTGGAGATAATTTAGAAATAATTTAAGTGATTTCTAGAATAAAAATTCATGTCTGGCTAGGTCACACAAAACACACAGTAGATCTTTGTTGGTGATCAATCATGTGTTGGAAATTATGGAAATTCTGACATACAGAAATGCTGTGAGATTTTATTGCCTTCTGTTTCCTAAACAAGCCCTAAACAATACCTTTGCTTTTATGAGTTACAAAAGCTTAAGGACCTTGCTAGGTAAAGTGAAGTAATAAAGATACTACGGTTTTACAACTTTTTCAGCTGCTCATTTCTTTAAGAATATTAACTGGGAAAGGCCAGGGAAGCTTTCACATAAACAAAAATCTCCTTATTTGAAATCTGATTTTACATTTGTGCTGTCTTGCCAGAGAAAAAAAAAAAATTAACTTTCTTTTTTGATTAAATATGGTTGGTGAGCATGACCTGAAAGTCATTTGCCTGATTTTATATAAATATCTAAGGCAGATCTCTCCACCTGTGTGTTTTGAGCAGCAAATGTTTAATGAGCTGCCTAACACAGGTGATATTCTCAAGACATTTATAAAGAAAAAAAATGTTTTGCTTGACTTTAATGTTAACAGAATAAATGCATAGAGAAAGATATGGTAAACAGAAAAGATTATGCCTCTTCTTGACTCAGCTATAACACCCTGCATCAAGTAAATGTACTCATTTTCTTCTTTTCAAGAAACAGCTTTTGCTGTCAGTGTTCTATATAAACTGTTCTGCAAAATGTTAACCTGGATTTCTTTTTGGTTCAGAAAAGGACTAGTCATTATCTAATCAGAAAATTTAAAATTCACTTTTTTATGCTTGAGAAAGATCATTTCAATAACTCCAGTTATATCTATAGTAAAGTTCAAAAGCAAAGCTGACTATTTAGAAATCAGGTTCTTGTCTTTCACAGCAGTCACACCTGCAGGCACCCTTGGACTCTGCATGTCAGAGCAGGGAGGGAGGAAAGGAGCCTCCTTGGCTTGTGCTGTCCCACTGGCCTCTCTGCCTGCCAGCCCTGCACCAGCCCTCCCACTGGGCTCAGGGTGTTGTGTGGCCATGCTGGCAGTGCTGCCTCTGCCCACCTCATGGGCTTAGGGGGTACTGCCCTGCACTCCTGAAGCAGCCGGGTGGCACCCTCTTTGCTGGAAACAAGGTGAGGGCTTAAATGGAACAAGTCTTTATTCAGAAATAATTTCTGCCTCAACCTTGCAGCACCTAAACTATGTGAGGCTTGAACTTTTTCCAATGGCTTCCATATACCAAGTGTAAAAAGTCTTTATAGGAGGCTTTACAGTCCCAAACTTTCCATGGAATCCTACCAGATAAGTAAGATACTGTAATTTTCTCCCAAATCAACTGCATCAGTTTTGAACTGTTTTCATTTAATTGAAACAAACCCTAAAAGAGATCAGTGTCCCCTGACCCTACCTGTGTTTATGTTCAGGATTGACATGAGATGACACAGAAAATGTCCCTGACCCAAGTTTCTGGGAGTTCCTTGCCTTCAGATGGCATCTTTCCCCATGGACAGTGAATTCCTTAATAGTGATTCCTTAATAGTAGGTGAGTCAGTTCAGAACCATTACTGAACTAAGGCCATAAATATCTTCTTTGACTCACGTTCTAATTGCAAAATTCACGCTGAATAAAGCTCAGACCAGAAGATCAGTAGCATTTTACATGAGCCTAAACTATATAAAGAATAAGATAATGGTTTGGGAGTAAGATCAACGGTTACCACCAGACAGGACCTTATGTGCTATCAGAGCAAAGAATGGTCAGCCTTGGACTGAGATTCCATGCAATTTGGTGTATAGGCTGAGCCACTGAATGTATGCTGTGTGGAAATGCTAATGTTGCCTGCTAGTAAAAAGATAATGATGCTAATGTTGGACTAGTAAAAAGCATTACCTCATGTAAGCACTTTCTGGTCTGTTCCCTCTGTCTTTAGAGATGTAGGTACTGAAGCAATGAGGATGCTGGGTCTGGGAGTGCATTGCACTGAAACAGTGTGAGAAACAGGTAAGACCCTCCACATTATCCAGCCCTAAAATCCAAGTTCTAATTGCTTGTCTTATGGTTTAGGAAGACAAGAGGATAGCTAGAAAGATGAGGTAGTAGTAGATCTAGTAGATCTAGATGGATCTCCCTCGCACAAGGCTGAGTAAAATACTTCTAGAGGAGAAATAATAAAGGATATTGTATCTACAATCTAGTGTATCTATTGTGTAGGAGACACAATACAAAACACCCTGCCTAGTGCCTATTTATGATTTTACTCCAAGAAATAAAGAAATAAAGCTCACAAATTTGTGGTTTCAGGTTTTGTGACCAGATGTTTGGAAGTTAGGCACCAGGGCGCCTAGTGCTTTAGCAGCAAAGTCTCTTTTTGGATATAGCCCTAGTTGTAAGAGTGAATGTATATATGAAAGAAAAGATTAAATATATTAATTTAAAGGCTCTGAGTCACATAGCAAAGAAACTTTCCATAACTAGAGGAATGCTGATCTTCCGAGAACAATTTTTTTTCTTGAAGACCTTAGAGAATAAGAGAGCCATAATGAAGGAAGAATATTTTAATCAAAAAATAACCATTTTCTTCAAATGTCTTTGTTCTCCTTAGTTTTCTCACATAAAACCAAAAGTCTACTGAACTTATTTATGTATATATTATCTAATTACTTTCTCTCAAAAATGAATGTGTACTTTTTGCTCTGAAACTCAAATAGTTAGGAAGGAATATAAAAATTCCTTAAGAATTTAATCTAATCTTTATTAGATTTAAGTAGGGCTCGATGAAGGCATTTACTAAGGTTAAGCCCTGAATAAAATGAGAATAAGAATATTCTATTTCTAAGCTTATATATGTATAAAAAAGGTAATCACCTGAAGTTTTCTACTTCATTTTAAGCAAACCCCTGATACCTATAAAGAAATAATGTAGCTCATTATATAAAATATTTGACTTAGGACTCAAAATATGAACCCTAGATCAAAATTTAGACAAAATTTATCCTTCTTTGGATAAATTATTGTGTTCTTTGTGTCTTTTTTCCCCTTGCCTGTGTAGTTAACCTTTTTTATTATAAGCTCCTTGGCGCAGAAAGGTTCTCTCTCCCATTAGTATTAGCCTAAGAGAATAGTACCTTAATTTTGACTATGCCTGGGTCCCTATTATAGTGAAAACATCATATATTTTCCCAGTTTACATTAAAAAACTCTGAAGTTCTGTAACATTATTCACAGCTACTGGGACCTTACATCCTTTGTTTCCCTACAATGAATCCCAACAGGAAAATGTTTTCTGTGTTCTAAAATATCTTTGCATCTTGATATTTTAAAATGCTGCTTTCCTCTGGGCTGATGACTTCAGTTTATATCCTTAATAATTCCCAATTTATTTAATTGCTTAGTATATTGGATGACTGTTTTATTTAGTGAATATTTGGTACTAAGGCTTTGTATTTTTATATTAATTATCTGAGTTTTCCTAGCAAAATTCGGGGGTTTTTTGCTAAACAAGTTATATAGAGCATACAACACCTTTGAACATGAGCATATTGCTCTGCACTTCTTGCTATGCTTTTAGATTCTGCATAAGCTACAAATTCTACCCCCCTTCACCATTTACATTCAGCCATACATAATCATGAATAACAGAAGGCCTAACACTGAATCCTCAGAAACTGTGTCCAGATTTTCCCTTTGTGGCCTAGTTAAGTTAGTTTTCCATCCCACAGTTTCTTTACTTTCATGCTGATTTCTCTTAGCCATTAATCTCAGATGTGGTGCCTTGTCAAAGCGTACAAGTAGATTACATCCATTGAATTTCCCTTATCTACAGTGGCAGTAAAATCTTCAAAGAACTCCATCGGTTAGTTAAGCATGACCTCCCCTGACTGAATCTATGCTGGTTATCCTTAATCAAACTGATTTTCAAGCTGTTCTTTCACACTTCCTTATGGTAGTTTAATTTTCCCCACAACCCTTGTTAAATTCACTGATGTACGGTTTCTTGGAGTGTCTTTAATTATTTTTGAAGATTTACTTCCTTTTTTTCAATCTGAAAAAAATCATTCCTAGATAGATCTAGTTTAAATTGTCTCAGTAAATAGATTTCTGTCCCTCTGGGTTCCTTACTAGCTGCTTAAACACTGATTTTCAAAACTGGTTTTGTTGAAAAAGATCCCAAATATAATGAAATCATGCCTTTTTCTGCTGTGGTGTGTTTTTTGTTTTTTTTTTTATTTTGGTGCTCATTTGTATGTGCCATTTTACTACATGTAGCAAAATAGAACAAACTCTTGTTGTCAATATAAAGTGGTAAAATTAAATTCCTGGGGAAAAACTTTCCAGGGTGCCCCACTCCTTAGCACATCAAATAGCTAACAAAAGCTTTTCTAAATGCATTCTTGGTGAAAATCCATGTAATGTTGCATTTGATAAGTGAGGGAATACACTGCCAGCACATCATTCCAGTATTTCAGAAATCCCTGGTGCAAGTTCAAGGTCATGGGCTTGAGCTGTCAAACTTCAATGAGTTAGGGTGAAGTATTCCACATGTGGCATCTTCCTGGGATGCTTGCAGGAACTTGTGGCGACTGCTGCACTTATAAACAAAGGGAAAGTTTTTTGCATTATTAGAAAAATGGACAAAACTTGGTGGCTAGTGAAAGGTAAATATGGTGCTACAAGAGGTTCAAATCACTGAATTCTGTCTCTCTCTCTGAGACACATGTGCACACATGTATTTATACTACATTCATTGCCAAGGTAACTAGGCACCATTATACTAACGCATGGAAATTTCAAAGGGGAGTGTTATATCTAGACCTGAATTTTATCTCTCAGATATCAGTGATGATTCCAGCAGAGTTGTGGCAGATATAAATTAAGTGTCATTGCAGACTTTTTACTAGAAAAAAAACCAAAATTGCCTAAATTTTAAATAAATATGAGCTATGGGACAAATTAATCGATCTTCATGAGAGTAGCTTGCCTCTCTTTATAAGACTGTAGATTTATGTGATGGGCATAACATGGTGGTTGTTAAGTCCCTAGTGATAAAAGCTATTGATTATTTCCAGAAATGAGTTAAAAATAGGTTTTGCAGCACTTATCTTTTAGGTACTTACTGGCAAATGAAGTTCAAAGCAGTATTCCAAGTTGACTACTTGCAGTTTCACTTTTCATAGAAAAATTGAATATTCACTGAGCAAGACAGAAACCCATCCAGAAGCATGACTCTGATGTGGTGATTAATGCCTTTCATGGACAGTAGGTGTCCAGTTCCTATTCCAACAGCTTTTTAAATATTTAATATTGATTTCATTTAAGCAAGGTTTGGAACACAAATCTTCTACCACTAAAGGAAACTTTAACTGAAAACCCTCATGGCCCCAGCAAAGGAGAGCCTATGGTAGTCACAGCATATGACAGGAAAAAAAAAAAACAAAAAGAAAAAAAAAAAGAGGAGGCAGGCTTTAATTTTCTAAGGAAAGAGGTAGATGAATGTAGTTTTTTCACAAGGTAGCTAAGCACTCCAACTGTTAAATTA